CCTATCCAGGTGGATTTTTTTAGATGTCCACAATCTGCTACCAAAATTTCAGAAAGAAGAGAACAAAAAATTATACAAAGAAGACAGAGCTAACCTCCAGAAAAAGGGGTGGGGGTGGCACGTATAAAACCGAAGTGGTGCTCACTGAGCAATGGTGAAGCTGGACTTCTTGTGACAAAGCCGATGATAATGAACTTCTGATGTAGAGAACAGTGTCGCTGGCGCCCAATGAAAGGAGGCAGAGCGGGAAGGGGGGGAGATAAGGAATCTCAAATGTCAGCAAAGTTAACTACAAAGAGGAACCTTAAGTGGATCAATCAGGGTTGAACCACCAGATAGAAGGATTAAGTGGCTAATAAAAGGGATGTTCTACTGACCTCTAACACAGGAGGGCAGAGATAATGAGATAAGTAAAGCTGGTGAGGATAATAAGACTGTAATTATGGCCAAGTTCAAACTACTGAGTGTACATTAGAGAACGCTCCAGACAGCGTTGAGAGAAAGGAAATCTCGGCCCCCCGGATGTTAATGCTGCCTCCTGGCCACATCTTCTTCTGGCCAGCGTGAAAATAAAACCTTCACAATGGAGGTTGCTAATACGCTAAAGCAGAGCTTGCGGTTCACGGTGCTGAAAGGAGAAGGTTGAAAGAAGCAGAGCCCGGTCAATGGGAGACGTCCACTGTGCTCAGAAGTCAGCCCACAGTAATTATCGTAAACAACAATGCTGTGACCACTGCCATGGGCATTCACTGAGCTCCTGCTGCGTAGAGGGTGGTGAGGTAGGCACTATACATTCTAGGATGCTTGAAACACACACACACACACACACACACACACATACAGTTCCCCAGGCTGAAAGACAGAATGCAGCAAATTTACAAGTTGATTTCTTCAGAGTTTGAGGATAAAGTAGCAAAAACTAAATGGATTAAAGTAAGAGCATTTGCTTGGGGACACGTGCACCATCTCCCTTTGCATCTGGAACATTTCGTTTTTCTGTGGAATGCTTGAAATAATTGTTTGCTTCATCTCTTGGGTGAAATAAACGTATGGCAGCTTTACTACACTATTGATTCAAATTATTACTGTAATGACAGAGCCATCCGGGGAGGTGTCACTGGGTTTCACTAGACGTCCTGACAGCTGCCTTGTGCATTATTAAGGAGTGTGCCGAAAAGGAAGCCCCTCCCCGCCCGTCCTGAGCCACTGTCCTTCATGGCTCCGTGAGTTCTAAGACTCAGGACCCTGGACTCAGGCGCTTGGGCTGTCAGGAACCAAAGGGAAGTTTTCGATGGTTTGCAGCTGTGAGTCAGTGCGCCCTGGGCTGGGGGACGGTGATGACAGGACACATGACATTCATGTTTCAGGGTGTGGAGTCCTGAAAACAGGACTGGCTATTCACACAGACATGGCAGGGTTCCTGCAGGAAGCACACACATTCAGATCCTCACAAGATTTCTAAGAAAGGGCCCGCCTACAGGTAAGGAAGGGTTAAGGGAAGTGACACAGTGACATGGGCTGGGAATGGGAGCACACGGGCACATGTAAAGACACAAGCTGCTGTCTCCTCCTGCCCTCAAACCCCCGCAGTGCCTCCTGATAAAAGTCAGAGGCTTTTTAGGGCTCAGCTTCCAGAGACTCACACAGAGTGGATCTGATAACCACCCCCATGGCTCCCAGGCTCAGTGCATAAGAGGAGAGGGTGAGGGAGACCTGAAGGGCTGGTGTACAAATACAGTGCCACAATATGTCAGTCACAGCATGCGGTCGATGCCCCATCGTGGTCCTGATGCCACCTTAAAAGACAGTGAAGACTCTTCTCATCACAAGGGAGCCAGCCAGGAGCCTGGGATCTTCGTCAAGCAGACCTGGAAATGAGTCCTGGCCCAGCCTCATACAGGTGTGTCCCCTTGAGAAAGCTGCTAACCTCCCAAGGCTGAGTTTGCCCTTGGGAAAAAGTACCACCACACAGAACTATCTGAAATCAGATGATGTTTGTAAAGCACTTAGGTTATGTCCTGACATAATAACTTCTCCAAGATGGCAGTTGTTGATATAAATTAGGGAATCCATTCCTCTGAAAGTGCTTAAACACTAAAAGGCATTACACAAGGATGAGAGACATCTGGCAGAACTCAAGAGCAGGACTTCGACCATTCTCAAAGAGACCAGAGCACAGACCCTGGTGGTGTCGATTCTGTTTCCTGTTCTGCTTCTTTCTGCAGAAAAGCCTCTACCCCTCTGAGCACTGGCTTCCTGCTTTACTGGTCACACAGTGGACTGTGACCACTGAATATGCTTTATGACTACTGTACAACCATAAAGGCTCCCACTCATGCAAAATCACTCCCAGGACTCCCAGGCCTGGCTCTAAATTCTGAGGACAGAGAGCAGATTGGCCTCACTCAGGTCCAGAGCCTGCCCTGCTGGGTCACCCTCCATGTGTGCTGACTCTCTTCCCTCTGTCCCTGCAGATCCACTCCCCGACACGCTCTCCCCACCCCTGGGCCTGTGAGGGCTGCATCAATCTACAGCCTTGACTTTAGTTTCTGCTTCAGTCTGGCCAATAAGAAGCCCCAGCAGGACACTGGAGGACAGAAGAGTATAAAGTGGTGACCCTCTTCCTACGGGGTCAGCTCCAGGGTGGCTGCTGGCCCTTCGCCCAAGGCCACACGTCATTCAAGGACACCGTCTCAGCAGGCTTCTGGGGTTTCAACAAGTTCTGCTTGGCCCTCAGGACTGAGGGTGGTTGGGCAGCTCCTCCGTGGGCATCTAGCTATCCCCTGTGGTTCTCCCACCTGCCCCTTTGTTCAACGTTCCACCCACTGATTGGAATCTGACACCAGCTTCCTGCTAGTACATGTGGCAGAGGAACACGGTTAAGGACTCTACATAAATGAGGCTCCTGGACTCGACCTGGCGAGGAGCTTTGTGGATGTAGGGAGAATGATTCAAACGCAAGAGGCTCCAAGCATTTTCTATGTTGTTACTGTTGCCATTGTTTTATTATAATGGTTACTATAAATATCGCTCATTGTTCAAGAACTTCTTCCCCCGCTCTAAGGCTGGATGTTGCGCTGGAGTCAGTCTCCATCCCCCAAGCAGCTCTGGTGCACAGGCCTCCAGGTACACAACTGTGGGCATCCTTGAAGCTGGACACTGTTTTTCCTGGGAGCCCCCACTGTCCTTAGCCTGAATGCCGGGCTTTTGGGAAAAAATGACAACACTTTTCAAAACTTTGGTGATACCCCATTTCTTGGGCCAAGTGGTGACACTGGCAGTATTCTGGGGGACCCAGGACTAACCCAGCTGCCCAGAGGACAGGAAAGATTTATCTGCAAGAGGACATCCCTGATCACTGGGAAGGGAAGACACTCAGCTCTGCTCTGCGGAGCAGGACTGGCAGGATCACCATCGACCATGCAAAAGCAACACAGATGGTATAATGGGGGCTGTCCCACGCTTCAGTCCCAGGCCTCTGCATTCCAGCTGATCACACACCCACCTAGAAAATATACTCTTAGCCAGCGTTGCGGCTTACTAGGCTAATCCTCCACCTGAGGCGCCGGCACTCCAGGTTCTACTCCCGGTTGGGGCACCGGTTCAGTCCTGGTTGCTCCTCTTCCAGTCCAACTCTCTGTGGCCGGGGAAGGCAGTGGAGGATGGCCCAAGTGCTTGGGCTCTGCACCCACATGGGAGACCAGGAGGAAGCACATGGCTCCTGGCTTCAGATTGGCAGAGCACCGGCCATGGCGGTCATTAGGGGAGTGAACCAACAGAAGGAAGACCTTTCTCTCTGTCTCTCTCTCTCTCTCTCTCACTGTCTAACTCTGCCTGTCAAAAAAAAAAAAAAAAAAAAAAAAAAACGTGTCCTCTGCCACATGTGCTAGCAGGAAGCTGGTGTCAGATTCCAATCAGTGGGTGGAACGTTGAAATCTTTACTTAATATATGCTAAACTGATCTTCTGTATATAAAAAGAATTGAAAATGAATCTTGATGTGAATGGAAGGGGAGAGGGAGTGGGAAAGGGGAGGGTTGCGGGTGGGAGGGAAGTTATGGGGTAATCCATAAGCTGTACTTTGGAAATTTATATTCATTAAATAAAAGAAGAAAGAAAGAAAGAAAGAAAGAAAGAAAGAAAGAAAGAAAGAAAGAAAGAAAGAAAGAAAGAAAGAAAGAAAGAAAGAAAGAAAGAAAGAAAGAAAGAAAGAAAGAAGGAAGGAAGGAAGGAAGGAAGGAAGGAAGGAAGGAAGGAAGGAAGGAAGGAAGGAAGGAAGGAAGGAAAGGAAAGAAGGAAGGAAGGAAGGAAGGAAAGAAAGAAAGAAAGAAAGAAAGAAAGAAAGAAAGAAAGAAAGAAAGAAAGAAAGAAAGAAGGAAAGAAAGAAAGAAAGAAAGAAAGAAAGAAAGAAAGAAAGAAAGAAAGAAAGAAAGAAAGAAAGAAAGAAAATACACTCTTGCCTCTTGTCGCAATTAAATAAACCTGCTCACCTGCTTCCAAGGTTAATAAGAGGTTATTTCTATTTAACTATTCACAATGCACCAGAAACTGCTGAGGGGCTGGGTACAAAGTGCAACCCTGGCTCCTCCTTCCTCCTGCACTGAGACTCCACGCCTGATGTACAGAAGGAGCACGGCCCCCGGTAGTGATTGGGGTTTGACATGCACATGTTTGGTCACCCTGCAGAGCAAGGGTCATTGTAGCAAAATTAAAAGCAAACATCAGGTGGAATCATTTCTCCTGACCAAGAGGAAGCTTGCACAATAAAAATGGAAAGAGGAGAAAATGTGGATTAATTTGCCAAGCCAGCCATTCTCCACTTCTTTCTAGCTTGTTTAAATATGTGTGATTCAGTGTGGCATCTTCCTCTCCGAGCTCAGCGTTTCCATCTACTTGATCCTGCGACAGAGCCGGGACAAGACTCGTCACCGTGGAAATGGGGGGAGGTCCCCTGATGCCCAGCACAGTGACTTTTTGATAACTTGGGAGTAGTTAGGACTTTATCACTCAGGAGCTGTGTGACCTTGGGCTAGAAGTGAAGCTCTCTGAATTTCAGTTTCCTCGCCTGAAGGTTGGGATTAATAGCAGCTCTAAGTTATTCTAAGAACAACACGGGATTCACTCCGTAAAGTGGCTGATGTGCTGTCGGCGGTTCTGAATGGGTTCAGCAAATGTTAGGTGCTTTTGTTATTACACATTAGGAAGTGAGACTACATATTCATTCGTTCATTCATTCCATCCATGATTACTGACTTTCACTACGTCATAGACACCATTCTAGAAGCTGAACATAAAGTTCTGCCCTCATGGTGCTTACGTGGTAGTGAGGGACACAGATGATCCGCAGGACCCTGCATGATATACATGGGTAGGCAGGGACAAAGGCCATTGAAGAAGCACAGCTAGGGTAGAGGTCGGAGGAGGAGAAGGGTGGCTTGCAGGGCGGGGGAGCTGTGTAATGTTATCTTCTCTGAGGAGGGGACATTGGAGTAGCAACCCCAGAGGTGGGAGGGGACAAGCTCAGTGAATACAGGGCGGGGGGTGGGGAGGAGGGGCTTTCCAGTATGAGAGAAAAGGAAAGGCAAAGAGGTGAACGGGAAGGCAAGGAGGGTGCGCAGAGGGAAAAGGAGAGCACCCACAGGTCTTAACGTAAGGGAGCAAGGATGCTCGCATGTGCTCTGGTGTGGAAGTGAGAGGTTGTCAGTGCTGTGGCAGGAAGCAGGACAGCAGGGTGACAGAGAGGAAGCTCTGGAGCCCATTCCCTGGATGGACTCTACGCTGCCACTCACCAGCTCTTGACCTGGGCTGTGCCACGACCACAGTCCCCAGCCAGCAGCGGTGTCACCTGGGAGCTGACCAGGAGGAATGCAGAGTCTCAGTCCCACCCCAAACTGCAAGGTCAGAATCTTCGTTGTAACCAGGTCCCCGGGTGATTCACAAGCTTATTAGCATTTGAGAATCATTGGCCCTGGACTTGACCTTAATCTCTCTAGGTCTTGGGAGAGTCCCATCTGCAAAATGGGCACAATAAAAGTAACTCCTTCATAAGATTATTCCAAGTTTTACATGGGCTTGTGGCAGTAAAATGCTTTGCCAAATGCTTGACGCAATGTGATGCATACTAGTGTCTGCATTTAATTCCTGGTATGTTAGCACACCAGGGGCTAGATCTTAAAGATCTGAGTTACAGAGACACAATTCCTATATAATGTCTGAGAGCTTATAAGAACCCACATGCTATGAGGATGCTTTTTTGGACTCCTGGGAGCTGCCACTGTTGCCTGCTGACTGCCTTCAGGCCCACTTGGAACCTGCACAGAGGAAGAGTGCTCATGGCCGCTTTACCTGCCTTTGAGTCTGCCAGCTCCAGCTCCAGCAAGACCCCCTGCCCCTTCCTTCTACAGTGAAGGCCATCCTTTCCACTTGCAGACAGCACTGAAGTCCCTTTGGCAGCAGCAGCTGCAGTGGGGATGAGAGCTTGCAGGGACCCACCCTCACTCCTTGGTCCAATTCTCCTGACTCATAGCTCTCACCAAGGAAGGAAGCTGTCTCTGGAGAGGCTCAGCTCTCGAATACTGGCCTTAATGTTCCTCTAGCCAAGATGGCACCTGTCAAGTCTACCTCCTTCCCAACTGTATAATTATAAATCTCCAGGCCACAACTGTGTAAGAAAATAAAATCTGTTTACTAAACATGAGCTTGCAACTTTCAGTGAAGCACCACTGGCAAATACTGTAGAGTGATTAGGCATCTGGGTCTTTAGACACACAGTGGGGACTGGTGCTATGGTGTAGTGGGTGAAGCTGCCACCTGCAGTGCCAGCATCCCATCCCATATGGACGCCAGTTCGAGTCCTGGCTGCTCCACTTCTGATATGACTCTCTGCTGTGGCCTGGGAAAGCAGTAGAAGATGGCATAGTGGGTAAAGCCACCATCTGCAATGCTTGCATCCTATATGGGCACCAGTTTGAGTCCTGGCTGCTCCATTTCTGATCCAGTTCTTTTCTAAGGCCTGGGAAGGCAGTAGAAGATGGCCCAAGTCCTTGGGCCCCTGTACCTACATGGGAGACCTGGAAGAAACTCCTGGCTCCTGGCTTTGGATTAGCACAGTTCTGGCCTTTGTGGCAAAGTGGGGAGTGAATCAGTGGATGGGAAGACCTACCTCTCTCTCTCTCTCGCTCTCTCTCTCTCTGCCTCTCCTTCTCTGTGTAACTCTGACTTTCAAATAAATAAATAAATCTTAAAAAAAAGACACACACTGGTTTTAAACCCCAGCTCAGTCATGCTAGCTCACCCCTAGCTCCAGTTGTTTTTTCCTCTCTTTTTTCTTTGTCTGAAACTGGGGAAAGGAGAATGGTAGAGTATCTACTTCTCAGGTAATACATTTAATGAATTTTTGCAAGTCTGAAATAAACTAAGCATTCTAAAACTGGTAGTGGTCCCCACAGTTCCTGTTTCCTGTGTATCCAGTTGTACAGCAAGCTACACTAACAAGAAAAACACCCCTGAGAAGACAGGACCCAACTTCAGTTAAGGGAATATGAAGAGAGGTTCTGCCGCTCGTAGGGATGAGAGATGGTAAAACTCAACTGGAGAGATGACGTGAGAATGCAGAGGAGCACACACATGCAGGAGAGGTTTCTGAAATAGGGCCCCGAGGACTTTGAGATCTCTTGTGTACAACGGGGAAGGAAACAAAGAGTTGAGATTTCTTATCCTGTTCTTGCATGAATGGTTACGACCACACTCCACAGGAACATGGAGAAAGTTTCATGAGAAAGGATGAGAAGTTCAGTGGTAGTCTATGACCTTTAGGGGAATACACGTTCTGAACAAGAAATGTGCAGTTCTTTAGCATGCAGGTTAAATAAACATTTAAAAATGCTCCAGAATCATTAGTCAGCAGCTATGCTAGGTACAAGTACAGTGAGACACTAGCATGGCTCTATCTAAAAGGACAGACAATGCCAAGAGTCAGTGAAGAGACTGTAGGTGGGAGTGCAAACTGATATGACCACTTTGGGAAAAATTCTGGCAGTATTTTTGAAAGCTGACATGTGTTAGTAATTCTACTTCTGATGACATACATGGCTGAAATGAATGCTCGCCCACAAAAACACAGGTATGAAAATGCTCACAGTGATATTATTCACAAAAACTGGTAGCAAGCCAACTGTCCTAAACATAAAATGAAAAACTAAAATAGAAATATTATGTCACCTATTGAATAAAATACTGAATATCACAGACAAAATATTAACCAAAATATCCGGAGCCACACATAGAAAAGTTCTGATTGGCAACGTTTACACAAAGTGGAAAAAAAAAAAAAAACAGGCAAACTAATCAGCAAAATCTTAAAAATAAAAAAAGTTACTTCCACTGAAAATGTATGTGTTTTACTTTGTGGAGTATATACCTCAATTAAAAAGGAAATTAAAGAAGGAACACAGGGCTAAAGTAAATTAAACAAACACAGGGCTGACATTTTTGAGCAGCTCTTGAAAACTACACACGTAGGGAAACTTGGCAATTCTGGAATGCACTGGAACTCTAAGGCTGAAGTGATTACTTGGTATGCAAAATGAGTTGCTGGCTCTAGGAGGACTATCAGACACTATTTAAGGTCATTCTTGGGATTAATGGTGATTTTCGTGTTTGTGATCCCCGTGGAATATGTAATAAGCCTCCTGAAGGGGCTAAACAGTATAGGTAGAAGAACTAGAGGGGTGTGTCCTAATCCCTCCTGAAACACCAGGTAGCTTGGAAGAGCAGTGTGTTCAACACAGGGATTCCACTACAGGACATCACTAAGAGAGTGCCGGGACTGGCTATTCTCCAAGGGGTTCTTCCAAAGGATGCCCTTATTGCCACCCAGTTCAAGAGTGACCCATGAGCTCAGAGTTCCTAGAAAGCAGTAGATGGTGTGTCTGCCAGAGGTGGGGCTGTGGTGTGGATTTGTCTCCCAGGAGACCTTTTGTTGAGCTACTTCCTTTCCTGGGCTTCACCTTCCTCAGGTGCAAGAAATAAGAACCAACCAGCATTGACCCTTTCTAGTACCATGAATTCCAAGATTCCATGGTGCTGCAGCTCAAGTGCTTGTCTATTTGCTATGTTTATTTACTAAATATTTCTTGAGTACTGACTATGTACACATAGACACAACAGCAAACAAGACAGAAAAAGCTCCTGTCTGCAAAGCACTTAGCTTCTAATGAGGGAAAGAGACAAGCAGACAGATGATACATCCAGGTTATGTTAGTGACACGAAGACAATGATGGACACAATGTAGGAAGGGCGGAAGTTTGAGGTAGTATGGCCTAGCACTGTCTCTCCTCCAAGGAACTGATCTTTAAATTGAGGTTTGAATAATGAGAAGAAACTGGCCACCCTGAGAGCCATGGGGTGAATCTGGTACAGAAAAGAAGAGCCAGGTCAAGTGAGAAGCACGCCAGCCCCTTGACACCCAGCATGAACCACCTGTGGCCCATCTCTCTGCATCTTTCTCTGAGTATGAAGAGACTGCTACGCTCTCTGGTTTTCCATTTGCTCTCAGCATCAAGAGGAAACAACAATTTTCCACCAGCAAACACCAGTATTTGGGGATTAAACGACCCAGGAGTCAGAACTCAGCCTGGGAGCAGGGGAGCCTATTGGATTTAGAATGCACTGGCTCAGAAAAGTGGTGTATATATCTGCAGACAGTTCCAATGGGAAATAAACAATGAAGTGGCAATTATGTGTTGGGTCCCCAGGCACAGCCACACATAGAGAAGCCGGAAGCAGTCTTGGCTCTGGTGTGCTCGCTCCTTCCCTTTGTCACCTTGGCACGTGGGGCTTGTGCCCTCCTAGGAATTAGCACTTGGGGTTGCCATTGCTGGTTTGCCTGTTACTCTCTCCTCCTCGCTGTTCAAGAGACCACGTCAAACTTCCATTGCTGACTGCAGTGCCTAGTTCAGGAGCGGGTGCTTTGTGTGTGTTTGGTACATGTTTGTGAAAGGACTGTGTGCACACATTCACGAGTTAGCCCATCGCCACAATCCAACTAATAATTACTGAGCACCTTCTATGTACAGTCATTCTTTCAGATGTTGAGGATACAGCAGTAAATAGAATAGACAAAAATTCCTGACCTCATAAAGGCTTCTTAACTGTGGGAACAGGGTCAGAAAGACAACGAAGGAATAAACCAGGAGGCCGTGTGGCTATTCTGGAGTAAGTGGGGTAGGGAGTGTGGTCAAAGCAGCAGGTGAGGAGGTCAAAGAGCTGACCAGGGGTCCCTGGTTTAAGCCTGGTTAGGGCTTGGCATTGACCCTGCAGGAGCTACTGAGCCATTGGATAGCTATGAGCAAAGGTGGCATAATCTCACTTCTACTTTTAAAGGATCAAGGAAACTCAACTTGGTTTTAGAACCAGAGGCTAAAGTGCCTATCCTGTCTAGTTACAGGCACCAGCAGAGAGGAATCCTCACCCAGGGTAAGAATAAAAGATTCACACGCCTCAGGCGCCTTCTGTGAGCCTTGTGAAGAAAAAGCAGTCTGAGCTCACTGTGAAGGGCCTGTCTACAGAATCCGCCTGCCACGACCATCAATATCATCCGCCTCCTCATTCATTTTTTAAGATAAATGCCAAGGGTGAAAGGTGGCAGCCTAAGGAGGGAGCAGTGTCTGATCTCAGCCACCCTGGGCAACAGGCACTCCAGGGCCTGGCGCTCTCTGCCGTGGTCTCCAGGAGTGTGCAGAGACTGCAGGGGCAGGCGGAGCTTGGCTGGGGTGCCAAGACTGCCCTGCAGAATCCCTTCTCTGCTCCCAGCCCCAGGAGGCTGGAGCCAGGGGCAAGGAGGCGGCATCAGCCTCATGAGTTCAACAGGGTGGTTCTCGTGCTTCCCTTGCTCTCATCCAGGAAGCAAGTGGCCCTGCTCTGTCTTCTCGTCTCTTTCACACCTGTCCTTCTCCATCAGCTCTCAACAAAGCCCCAGATTCACCCCACAATTGCTGCCTATAATTGATTTCTGCCTCTGTGACTTCCCTTAGAAACAGCATGGGCCCACATTACACTGTATCTGTATCATTTCCTATTCCACACACCTCTTGTGTCTCCCTACCCAGCTGTCTTTGGGTAGCACCCCTCCATCTCAAAAGTCCCTGAGGTTCAGGTAGGGGCTGATCTCCCCTTCCCACCTTGAGGCAGGGTCAGCGAGCAAGGCCTGGCCAATCAGAACCACAGAGACAACGAAGGGTATAAGCCAGGCCCGTGGACCAGGGACACTTGGCAGCTATCATCACAAAGAGGTGCAATTTGCTCCAACAGGATGGCTAAAGTGGTGAGGTGGAAGTCTTGCCGCTACTAAATGTCAGCTGTCCACCACTCAGGGAAATCTCAGCTGTGAATTAAGGCCATGGTAGAAGAAAGTAGAGCTAAGGTATGGAGAAGAAAAGCTCCCCATGACAGTCAGGGTCACCCCATGAGAGCACTTGAACCCAGCCAAGCCTGAAGCCGAGGTTGCCCTGGACTCTAGCAGGGGAGTGGGATCGGGTTCCTACTGCTTCATAGCTTTCCCTGAGGCTTGGTGGTTCACAGTGCAACCTCACTCTTCCGCAGCTCAGGTCAGAAGTCTAAAATCAAGACTGGCAGGGATGTGTTCCTTTGCCGGTTCCAGGGGAAAACCCATTCCCTTGCCTTTTCTAGCTTTTTGAGGCTGCCTGCCTTCCTCGGCTCGCAGCCCCTTCCTCACATCACTCCAACCTCTGGCTCCATCTTCACGTCTCCTCTTCCTTCAGGAGGGCCCTTGTGATTACACTGGGCACTGGACCCACCCAGATAACCCAGGATAATCTCCCCATCCCACTGTCTCTAAACTTCAATGCATTTGCAAAGTCCTCTTTTGCCATAGACAATGAAGTATTCCTGTGTTCTGGTGATATGAATGAGCACAGTTCTGGGTGCCACCATTCACTGACCACTGGAGACAGTGTTCCCTCTTCTGACAGAACCCTAAAGGGCCTAAAGGGCCAGGGATCTGTCGCTCATGCTAGAAGGAGTCCATAACACATACCCCGAAACCCACAGCATCATCTTATCTCTGGAGAACAGACACAGCCCTAGTAATCAGTTTACCCAATCAGAGTTACAATTTCTTTGAATGACTTCAGTATTTTAATTTCATCTGACAGCACAGAGTCGAGGTTACCAACACAGCTTTTGGATTCAGACAGCTTGGGTCTACCTACATCCTGACCTTTCCACTTACTAGGTAAGCCTTTTAAGCTGCAATCCTCTTGATCTGTCCAATGGAGATAATAAATGCATCAGCTTCAGCCAGCTATTGTAAGAATTAAATGAGATAATGAATGCACTGTGCTCACACTACAAGGTCAGTGCTGGATAAGCAATGCCATTTCCACTCGGTGTGTAGACAAGACTCCTAGCATCTGGTATTATACCAATTTCTCATACATCTCAGTTAATTGCTGCACTTTTATTTAGCTCCCTTAGAAACAGCTCCAGACTCAGAGAATGACTCTCACTAAGTCCTTACATCAGCACCTTAATTTTAAAGGTGTTGTTGCCAGCATTTCCACAGTACAGTCAACTCCCCCAGATTTTTGCAAATGGGCCATGCACATTCTTGATAACATCACTCGACTGCTGAAGGAATGCTACCCTATCTGTGTGGTCTGTGTTTTTCAGCCATTCTAGGCAGAGTCTTCTTCACACCTGTGTAATTTTGTTCTTCCCCTGGCTTATGTAATAACCATGGTTTTTTCTGTTCTTATAGAAAATGTGATTGTTCCTCCTTTCTGCCAAACTCCACTTAGCACTTATAGCTCCAGTCTGACTGCAGAGTTGATTCCAGCCTGGCACTCTCGGGGAGCTGCATTTGTGGGTGGAGTCAGGGGGTGTTCGGGAATTCACAGTCCATGCCTCGACTATGTAACTGGAAACAACAGGCAGTGTCCACAAGAACAGTTCAAGTTTGGTGGACTGAAGGCCAGCAAGGGGCCGTCATCTGTGATGATCAAAATACTCTGTGTGGTTGATGGGGGGTTGAAATTTCAGGGCATTCGGTACCCGTGTGGCCAGCTAACTGGAGGAAATGGTGGCTGGAATTCCCTAGACAGGTAAATTGAGCTTCTACCTGGAAGCCTGCCAGTCCCAGCATCAGACCCATCCACTCCCACCTCTCCACACAGTGAGGATCTCCTTCGACAGTCACTCCTACAAATTGGAGAGTAATTTTTAGCTCTTTCACACAACTGATCACAACACATCTGGGGAAGACATTTTTGTTTCCGCTTACTGGGATGGTAAACCACGCACTCCCGGAGCAGAAGGCAGACATCTCTTTACCGTATGAAGTCACCCAGCCCTTCTCACTTTAAGATGACCTAAACCACTGTGTCAAATCCTTCCTTCCTTCCTTAACAGAAGGCAAAGACCAAACTCTGTCCAGGGAGACATGAGGAGAAGCCCGTCGGGTAGTTTTCCTGTGCTAATGAAACAATGGAGCCTCACAAGGAGGAAGTCTTTCTGTTTTCCCACTTTTCTGCTTGGGACGCAGGACTTGATGCTTGGAGTTGTGGCAACAATTTCTCTCCATGAAATAAAGGCCAAAATAATCTTCAAGATCCTTATTTCCATTCTTCCCTCACTATACTGCTGCATCAAGTTCTTATGATGTGGTGGATTTCAATATCTTTATCATTTAAATCAGGATTACTTGAACATTTTTCTACTTACAGAAGAATGTATTCTAAATGATAAACTATTTAACGCTTTGTTTTCCAAAAAGAATATTGAAACTTAAACCACCTTCCATCTTCTTTAAAAATGTGTTCAGACATGATGGCAGCATCAGTCTCCTTGTCAAACAACTTTTAAATCGAGTCAAGTGCTAAAAAGTCCCCAAGTGGTAGTTAAAATCTTGGATGCTCATTTCCCCCCACTAGATAAAGGCCTTTCTCTCCCCTAAGTAGTCAGCAGCACATTGCTGAGTTCTCATTACCTGACTACTGGACTACTTGACTGCTTCTCTCTCTTTTCTCTATACTGGTCGTGCAGCAAGATGTGTGGAACACAATTTGCTATGTAGAAACATACAGAAGGGAAGTGGGAAATATCCTAGAATTCCCTGCTGTGAAATATGAGGAGAACCCAGTAGGAAGCTGATTTCAGGACAGGGAAAGAGGAAGACAGAAGCCACAATTCTCACGGACATTGCTAATTAAAACTGGCAGCTGAACCATGGTTTCCAGTATAGACTGTACCTAACAGATGATGTTTTGACTGTGGCCTTGCATCTGATAAGAAAATTAGAAAGCCGATCATAAAGTTGTCAGAAGACAGAAAAAAATATATTACACAAAGGGGTGGGAAAGTAGTTGATCTAAGGTCTAAGCATTTTATAGCTTCCCTAGCTATAATGGCAAATCTTATAGTAACTGTCGCTTCCTGAT